TACATTTTTGATTTAATACAGAGGCCATAGAATGAACAAGATATGTCACTGCATCTAATGTGGAGCGCTGGGGTCTATACGCAAACGGGCAGATATTGTTCCCAGAAGCGGCTGAGCAAATCTGCGGAATTAACAGCCTTTCGGAAACTTTTAGAAGCACAGATGTACATGCAATTGAGCCATACTTTTGTGATCCGTTTTTTGGTACTGGAGTTATACTGGCCGTTCTCCAAATGTCCGGGATCACACACGCGGTGAAGCATTTGTTAAAGGGATTGTGAGAGAATCAGCACACTTTTTCAAGGCGAATGGTGAGAGAGCATCCGGACCACAAACTTTGTTTGCCTCTAATCTCTTAAATTGCTTTGATTGAAGGGCGCAGCTGGACTTGACCTAATGAATGAGGGCAAGGAAGGTGAGTTCGACGAGGCGGAACTAAACGCAGAATTCAGTTGAACTACATCCAGTTCACCGCTCTGGCTGCAAACGCTCTTACCACAGAGCTGCCTCACAGAGCCTCCACAGATCCTGACAGTTATGGTTGCCTAGAACTGCTTCGACGTATCATTGGTTTAGCCTTTATCTCGAATTTAATTGCCGTGGTTAAACTTTTGATAGGGATGGCATTCTTGCACTTTTAAACCCATTCTTTCATCATGCGAAGTCGCTTTAGTAGTGGTGCTGACAATCTATCTACCCTTAAATAGATGTTTCAACAGGGTGACACATGTAGTCCGTAAGCTGGTCACATTCGAGCGACAGGTCCCCGTCGTTGAATACTGAAAAATCAGTTAAAGTAAACATCGTCTGGAGCCTCGTGATATTTTCCAAGGAGCAATTTCGCCGTTTGATAATCTTGTAAGGACGTCTGATCAGCGTTAAAAAGTCATACCTGCTGTATATGAGTGGACACAGTTTTAATATACGATGGTCTTAGCTGCTCAAAGGTGCTCATTTTTGTAGGGAAAACAACTGTCGTTTGTAAACACAGCGTCAAAATGGGTATCTTTTCTTGTCGAAACGGTCGCTAGATCTACCAAACCAAGTGTCTTCAAGAATGTGGTATCCTTTCTGTTGAAGTCGCCAGATAGAACAACTTAAATCAAGCACTGGCGTTGAATATACTTGACCCTCAAAAAGCTTTAACTCTGATGCAGATGTGTCAGAAACAATGTATACGTTTCCAGCGATGACTGATTGAAAACCACTTAAGAACTTCGGTTTGCATTCAACTAAGTAGCAACTCATAGAGATCGTTAGTATGTAAATATTACGGTTGCTGAGTTGTACCAGCGTTGATTAGCGTAAGTTATAAGGTCACCAACACGAAACTGGGGCTTCCCGAGGCGGTCAGACCTGATGGGAAAATAACCGTCGAGTTGAATTACCCCATTTTCCACATCATTATGCAGCTAGCTTTCTTGTAACAGAATGATTCCTGTATTAACGCACACATTTCGCTGCATAATGGCATTGAGATCACTGATTTTACCAACAAGCGAGCGAACATTACTGGTGAGTATCAATGGGACTTGCGCTTTGTCGACGGACAACGATTGAGGCCAAATTACCAGCCAGTACGATGTTTGCGCTATTTTCCAAGACATTCATTCCTAATACGTTTGCAAGCGTTCTTGACTTTATGGCCGTATTCGATAAGGCACGGATTTAAAGCAGTAATGTGTCACGTTTTCAAATGGTTGACGGAGTAGAACCTTGAGGATTGATCAGAAAAAATCAAATTGCTGAAAAGTTACGAATGAAATAGAGAATCCGCAGTCGGTAGTTGAAAGTAGTCTTCCAACGAGAACAGCATCGGCCGAATTCGAAGGCCTCACAAATGACGAAGTCATGGAAATTGCCTTCACCAGACACGAGTTAGAAGATGTGGAGCTGCTCCCAGGTGTTGGAGTATGCTGACAACATTGCCCTCCTCTGTGACAGTTCACAAACGTTCCAAGCTGCATTGGACAGATTAGCGCAGGCTGTCAGCCGTTATGGTCTTTTCTTTGCGCCCTGAAAGTGCAAACCTTTTCTCCAAGATTGGTAGGGACCGCCTCCTGCGCTGACCCTTTTGGGTATCAGTGTGAAACCGTACCGACATTCAACTACCTGGGCAGTTGTATCAGCAACTGGAATCGAAGCCCGGGTCACGAACCGTATAACAAAGCTCGAGGCACTTTTGCTAACCATCGCCACCTGTGGCGCCGGCGCGACATCACTCTCACTGAATGTTAGAGTGTACAGTGCAACCGTAAGGTTGTGAAGCCTAAGATATCGGCAGACGTAAAGAAGTCAGTTACGTTCGACCACCGGTGCCTTCGCAGTTTATCTCATATCCGATAAGAACCTCATGAGCAATGAGCGTGTTCGACTCCTTGTTTATGACACAGCAATAGGAAATGAACCTTTCCGCACCGTTATTTCACGCACCAAGCTTCGCTAACTTGGCCGCGTGTTGTGCATGGCACTACACCGACTCCCGCGACGTGCTCTGTTGGTTCACCGAGGGTGTGGGTGGAAGAAACAGAGGGGGCAATCGATGACTTGGTCAAGAAAGATAAAGGCTCTTCGAAGTTGGCCTCCGTTGGAGCCTCACGGCTTCCTGGTTGGGGTCCGAAGACTATGAATACGTTTGTCTGCATACGCTTTTTGATCTGGCTAGGAGCCGTTCTCATTGGCGTTTGTGTCGTGAGTTTCTTTGTCCCTCCCTCTCCCGCTCAGCCTCGTCATCGAATTACAATCTCATCTCTGAAACAGCATAACTTTTTTGCGGCACATTTGCAGATTGTTGGATCTCCGCGACAGTATCCATCCGTTACTGGTAACTCAGCTGGCGTGTACTGTTTTCTGTTTTTATGTATTGTAGCACAGTAGCTGAGGTATTTTCTACTTCTAACTAAATTTTTTTACTGATGTTTGTCTTTAGAAAGTATATTGGTCGATGACGACATAAATTTATGAGGAAATCGCTCGAAAATGTGGTCCGGCTGATACTGTCAAATCGATTTTTCTAACACAATCTTGTTCACTAAATCTTATTTTCATTGTCTTCTCTTATCTATACATTTACCTGAGTAGTCCCTCCTAAATGTCCTCTGGAGAACGCCATGGACAGCTCTAACAACCATACTTTCTATGCACTCTTGCTATACTACTTGATCAGACCACTCAGTTGGACTGTGCCCCGGACTGTCAAGGAATATCTCCTTTATCTACTTATTACTCTCTCTATCCGACGTGGCCCATCCACGAATCCACTGATATTTCTGCGCAAAATAGCTTACATATTGTTCATCTTCACATTGGACAATTTCTAACTCCACATGACGACTAAGCTCACTTCATTTTTGTGTTTTGCCTGTGCTTGATTATGTTGGTTAATGATTTAGCAACTTATCCAACTTTTCCTCGTTAGTTGCAATAAACAAACCGGATCAAACCAAATACTTGAAGTGCGGTTCACTATATTACGTTACCTGCATTAGCAGTACCGCGAACTGATGTCACCTCTCACCGTTCGATTCTCCGAGGTCTTCTTTGTTACCGATGAGCTGTTGAATCCCTTTCTCCCTTCGCCTTAATGATAGCGAGGATTCACCTACCCTCCCTGACACCCGACAATGTCAATGCTCTAGTCAGCTAATCTCGAAATTTGGTCGGGTAAAAACTTGTACACCTCGACGGTAATGCAGTGTTAAACCTGGGTGCAAAGGTCCATATTGAGGCACCTCCCACTGAAGCTTGAGCAGCGTACAACTGGGATAATAAGGTGAAATATTTCTCTGGCAAAGTGTTGGCTCCGATTTATCCATATGATTGGATTAGCAGCACTATCATAAAGAGCTTAAGAAGATGTATGTGGGGGTTTGAGTGGTTTGGGTAGCTGTTCATCACATCTAGACTCAGTCAGACAGCTATCACACAGTCGGAAGTGCACTGTGCGGTCGTTTCATCCTTTCGGGAAGCGTCAGAAGTGTGCATTCCATCCGACCTCTGTGGAGCTCAAATCCGCCACTCGGAGCTAGGGTGGGTGGCAACAGCCGTCTTGATTGTTACTTGACGTGATATAGCGCCGCACACTATCCAATGATATGCACCTTACAGCTATGAAGAAGGAATTGTCTTTCAACGGAGTGGTGCTGTATATTCATTGTGTCCAGCCTGCTAGCCAGTCATCAATTCGTTAAATACTACTTATTTTTTGCATTCATTAGAGGATACTTACGTCGCAATTTTAGCTTCAAACTCTTTCTCTGTTTGCAGGTACAATCAGATTAATTGACGACAACCGAAACTCTGGTGTTTCGATGTTCTATTCCAACACACCTTGGTGATTTCCATGTTGGTGCATTGTTTTAATTGAAAGCCTTTCAGATATTGTGCTCGAATAATGTGAATCAATGAAAACGTACTCTGCATAAGTAAAAATGTAACAAGTGCAGATGAGCGCATGAGCACCATCACGGAATGCATTGTGGCGAACAATTAGCCCCTTCCCTCGTATTTATGACGAGTTGCATTCTCCTTACAGGTGGTAACAACAAAAGCAATTACAATTGGGACAGAACAAGTTATGCATTATTAGTGGTCCTTTGTTGTTACATTACATTTTCCTCTCACAAATATGATTCGCACCACACTGTCCTGTTAGAGAAGTCTTAAACCAAGACTTTGTGTGCGGCTACTTCGTCGCGGTCTGACGACTGCGACCATAATTTCTTCTTCCCCTGCTGTTGCATTGCTCGACCTCGTGTGTAACTCGATCGTATTTATTGCGTGACTTTCCTGCTGGTTGATTTCGTACGAGATGTTCCCATTGTGGACATTCATAAGCACGCAAGACGAGACTCGTGCATTTACCAGCTTATTGCCCCCTTCACATTGTTTGTCATGATTTGGACGACATCTTGTATCCAGACTCTCTTTATGACCCTTTGAAATCTTTCCAACTTCGCTGTTTCTCACCGGTCCCTCTCTTATTCGCACTTTTGACACAGGCCATCTGTGTGACAGACGGGGAACGCATTCTCGGCCTTGGAGATCAGGGAGCTTTTGGTATGGGTATTCCCGTTGGGAAGCTGTCTCTGTATACAGGCTTGGCCGGTATTCCTCCTCAACATTGCTTACCCATTACGCTTGATGTTGGCACTAACAATGAGGTAAGCGCAACCAGTCGGTCGTCAAATGTACACAGTAACGATTATGATGTCTGTCCTCGACTACACAGAATATATCCTTTTCAAGTTGTAACAGTTTACTTGCAGTTCACGTATCACGCGTGGTTAGATACGGTATTTTTCATGGCGTTTTTTTTGTTCTGGATTTCCTTTTTCACCCACCTGTCGCTCATCTTCCGCCTACGATCATGATCTCACACTCGATGCGTACTATGCCACTAGGCATTATATTACTTGCGTTTTTTGGTTTTTATATTATATTCCATAATGTTGTGCCTCACTTTTATTAAAAATCTTGTTTCTTATTCCGGCGCAATAGCTGAATTGTGTTTATTACCTTCAACTAAAAAATAATGAAAATGAGGATGAAATACGCGAAACTGAGTACGTACTCACTTCCGCATTAGCTGGTTCCAACCTGGATACATGCCACAATTCCTGAGTATTTTGCACTTGAAGTTCACGCGGCATCGTCATGTAATTTTTTCCAAAATATATCACTGTGTACCATTTTGTTCTTTCAGATAAACCTTTGACTCTACGATATTATGCTTGATGAGTTGCATAGCGTTTAGTACTGCCATAAGTGCTTATCCGCATGGCACGGAACACGTGGGGATGCCGCAGGATTTAAAAGATACTAGAAGGTAATTCCGTAAGATAAATGTATGTGCTTAATGAAGCAGTTTGTCCTCTTATCACTGTGCGCATTTGTTACTGGCAGTGAACACCGTGTCACGGTTGCATTTTGAAAGAGTGACCAGGTGTATGAATGTCCATGAATGACCTCATAAAGGAGTGATGTGACCAGTTAAATCCCACGCATCTATGTCGGTTCCGGCATCAGCAGTTTGCAACCTTTAGCGTATGTGAGTCTGTGTAGAACTAAGGGTTTGCATTGTGAGGACAAGACGAACGCAGTTCAGTGCCACCTTGCGTCACTGAATACCATAGAGCATTAGTCACACTCAAGTCTTTACAGGTGTACCTCACAGCGCCGAGAATAAGTATTTATTTATTTGTATTTTTACACGTTTTGTACACTATAAGTCTCCTACTTGTCATCACAATGGGATTATGGAACTTGTTTTCTTGGCTTTAGCCAATGATGTAGTCTATGTTTCACACTAGGTTACCACAAGCAAGAGGTTTACCGAATAACGTTGGTAGTTTAGTTTGTATATCGCATCGGTATAGGATACCATTGCTTTTATTGACGGTGAATTTTTTTGCGGTTGTGCAACTTTGACTTCCGTGGTACTGACTATATTGGAACCAGTAGTTTTTCAAATCCGTTCAGAGGTGGAAATCGCTCACTTCATCAAGCTTCCTTGCAAATGGAACGTTGTGTGTTATGTATGATCATCGATCTCCTCGATGGATTAATCGGTGAGGCTGGTGTCCACAAAAATGCACTACAGGCACCGCATACGATGTCCGATGGCTGTAAATTAGAGCTGATAGAGTAGCCCTTAGACCATACTCTGAAACAAAGATAAACATTGGATGTCTACCTTAAACTTTGGTGTTTGAGCACACGAGTTTTGGCGAGAATGCAGTGGCGAGGTAAACAGTAATGTGGAGAAAATAAAATCATGGTTCTGGACCCTTTGGTTAGTGTTTATAAGTCAAATGATTGTAAATGATGCATTGTGCGCTCCGGGACGATGAAAGTTCGGAGCTTCATAATTTCGCAATCACATGCTGTTGTGGAGTGCGGTGTTTTTGGGCGGGCGGTACCAACACCCAATACTCATCTTCAGTTACTATTCCAGCAATCAACTTAACCATACTTTACTTCAATCGGAATTGTAGTCTACCTTGAGATTGCGTTTCGCAAGAACCCTTCAATCACAATCGGCCCGTAGCTTAAAGGCAACGAGCTTATCTTGTAATCTGACGGAGCGGGTTTGAGCCTGCGTAGGGGCAGGGCGACCCTCACAGTATCCTTAGTCCGCGTGCGACCGGTGGTGGTTTCGCGGCAGCGAAGCGTCAGTACTACGTACCGGCGTACTACTGATGCCATTGTATTGGTCATTGTGCAACACGCTACACGCGGCCTAATTTTTATGGCGTTTTTTATTGTCCGTTATTACTTGCACTAACATAACTCTACATCTCCATTTTGTTTGACAGAAGTCGTTGCCTCTGCACATACCATCGAGTTCATTGATTTAGGTCCATTCAACAGCTTTGCATCCATTCTGTATAACGCACTACAGGCATCGCATTTGTGGTTGATTGATCCGATAACCATGCCACACATCATCAGCCAAAAAAAGCAAAACTCACGCTGCACTTCCATCAGAATGTATTTCACAGTAAACGAATTGTTATTGATTGGTACGGAGGCGCTGAGCTTGACCACTCCGTGGGTGAGTCCAAGTTGCTATATCACTCGCACTCAGTGCAAACCGAGTGTTCGTGATCGTCAGACCGTGAGTGGCACACAGTGAAAGCAGCCTGTCACCGTTCGCATTCGTTGAACCAATGCCATGCGGACCGATAACATCTGTCCACACCGATGCATCACGCCCAACGCGCGTGTTGAACTCGCCCAGCAGAGATAGTCGGTCGCTTCTCGGCACAGACCGTATCACGGAGGATAGCTAATTGCAGAATTGATCACGCGTGTCATCAGGATAGCACATGATCGGACCGTACATGCTTATAAAAGTGGCAAACTTACCTCTTCCGAGTCGTAGGCGAGCGGTCATCAGTCGCGCGCTGATGCCAGTTGGTTCACGCACTTGCTGGCCATGGAGGCGATCGGATATTCCAAATCCGTCCCCTATGATCACGTGGTGCTGAGGCGGCGTTGCCCACCCAGTAGAATGTGTAGCCAACACCTGATTCATGCAACTTACCTTGCTCAGCGAGCCGAGTCTCATGGAGCGCCGCAATATCGGTGTGGTAGCGCGCCAGTTCCATCGCGACGAGTGCAGTATGTCGCTCCGGGCGCTCACTGGAGTTCCGGACCATTAGTGTGCGCACGTTTCAGCACCCGCTGATGAGTGCTTTGCGCGCAGGCATACGATTGCATTGGTGGGCAATCGCACGCGAGGTGGCGGATGTGCTTCGGAGGTTCGCTTGGCGGACTCCACTCGGAGTCTTTGGCTCAATAACCTTACCCACAAAGCAGTCGGTGATTTGGATGTTAGCTTGAGGGATTCTGCCCAAGGCCTTTGGCTCAGTAGCCTGACCCCACAAAGCAGAGGGTGGTTTGGAAATTTGCTTCAGGGACTCCACCCGAAGCTTTTTCTCAATATGCTGACCCACACGGCAGAGGGGAGCAGATCCAGCTCGGGAATGTGATTGTAGTGACAGATTATATCTGGTCGACGGCGGTCACACGCCGCCTTTGATTTACTGGAACGTTTCATATATGTTTTGCGACTGTAGTAGGATACACCTACGACCACGGCTGGACACAGGTGGGCTTTGGTGGGTTTGCTCTAATTTGATTGGGGACTGCCTTGCTTTAGATGGGCAGTAGAAAACCATTGAACACCTCGACGTGCCTTCGCACCGTCAGAGACAATGCGTGGCGCTCGTGCTCTACGCCAATCGAGCTATGAGCATATAACTCGTAGATCTGTTATCTACCATGGCTTGATTTTAGGGGAAGAGGGCCATCGACCACTTCCTAATTTCCGAAGATGATGAACTAGGATACTGGCAGGGCGCCCACACCTGACAGGAGAACGACTCATGTCCTCTGCCAAGATTTTCGAGTAAATATACATCCGAAAGACTGTGGGTTTAGCCCATCGTCAGTTCACTGACTCATGCGGATTGCTGTCCTGGATCTTGAGCGTAACCCAACTCCCACTCAGCGGTCACCACGAGGAGACGTCCAGGACATGAGCCCATGGCACAACAGTGGTAGCAGTGGTTAGGCCATCTTTCAGGACCTAGCAACCACCAGCCTCAGCGCACCATAGGCTCTCTCGCCATGGGGCACATGGTTGGCCGCTTCCGGTTTCGGCTTTGTCTGTCACTGGCCGGCGCAGGACGCCTGCGCCTACAGAGGGACCATCGGTGACTTGCGCTGCATCGCCCACAGCTCCAAGCACCCACTCCATATCCAGTGTAAACTCGAAAGAATAAGAGCGGGCGGCATATGGATGGGAGCTACGTTTCTTCAACGGAGCGGGTTCACACCTTCACAGGCAAACACAGCGCGCTGTATTTTTGAATCAGTCGTACGCAAGACGGTAGTTGGACCGTAGTCTGCTGCACACTGAGTGCATGGAACCACTCTTCGAGCCTTACACGGCCACAAGGACCGTGCACCTGTCCCTCCCAGAAACGACCAGCTGTCTCCTGGAGCCAGTATGGTCGAGGTAGTGGTTAATAGACAGGTAGGCACCTTGTCAACATGCACATTAAGCGCAGCCACACCGGGGATGTTACGCAACAGCCAATCACTTGAATGGACAAGGTGAAATAAAATAAATCGGGTAATGCATGCGGATACGTCGGCTTAACTCCACTAAATAGGCGTATAGAATAGATTGAATGCGAACGAATCCGCGATAAGTTCAAGAGTTCAGAAAATATATTTTATGAAAATGTCACAAACACGAAAATGTTATCTACATTAACTACAATTAGCTTCAGCGGCGTGTGCACGTCTATAGAAGATAGTACAAGTGGATATTAATATGAGAAAGAAAAGCATTTGGAGAAAATTGTACACCCACCACCTGAAATAAAGAGACAGCATGCAAGCACGCTGTTAGTAAATCGAATGCAGCGTACCTACAAACGCTGCGTTCATTCTGCCTACGTTCTCTGCAGGGCCGGTCGTCGTTTCGTTGTTGACTTTGAGTGGCCTCGCTCATGGCTCACTAAGCCTGCCTGACTCAGGCACTCGCGACCGCATGTGCTACAGCACCATGCGCTCGATGTCGATGGTGTACAACCCATCGGTACTTGCCGCTGCCGCACTTGCCGTTTCTTCTCTGCATGTATGAGGTCTTTCTCTCGCACTTCGGCAACTGCCTTCATGATCAGATGGCGCCATGCACGCCTGTCTGGTATATATGTGGTTGGTGGCATCCGGTTTCGGATTTGCCTGTCACTGGACAGCCACAGGACGCATGCGCCTACAGAGGGACCATGGGTGGCTTGTGCTGCACCACCCACAGCTCCAACCACACACCCCACATCCAATGTAAACCTGAAGGAATAAGACCAGGAGGCATGCGGATGGGAGCCAGGTTTCATCAACGGAGCCGACTCACACTCCTTCACAGGCAAACACAAGCACCCGGTATTTGGGAATCCAGCGCACACAAGGCGGTGACTGGACCGTAGTCCGCTCCACACTGAGTGCTTGGAACCACTGTTTGATCCTAACACGGCCACAAGAACCGTGCACCCCTTCCCCCCCCAGCAACGACCAGCTGTTTCCTAGAGCCAATATGGACGAGGTAGTGGGTAATAGACAGGTAGGCACCTTGTCAACATGCATACACACACATATATATATATATATATATATTTCACGGAGCACGTATTTTCTCGTTTTCTACTTGCTCAAAGGACCATTTGACTCGGTTGCTTGTTGTGCCCGCCGTACTTTTTCCCGTATCGCAGAAGGGCAAATCGGTCATGAATAGATTGCATTTTTTTCGGTACCAGCTTACTTGTTCCTGTGCGACGGTTCGCATGGCCACTCCCACAGCATGTGTAGTCGAATTTCGCCCAATGGTTTTGCTTACTGTTACAATGAACGTGATGTGGCAGTTGTAATTGTCATGCATTTGATTGTTGTTACCAAGTTTGTTCCTTACTTATTAGCTTCCAGTTATGGATTGCTTCTCATGTGCTACCGTTACTTTGCATTTCTTTTGAGCATTGTTTGTATGGAGTTCCGATTAGGGTTCCCCAAATGGCCCTTAACCCAAATCGGATGTCGGACTGCGTCTTTTCCTATATGAACTTCATCAGTGTCCCTGATTTCTGATAATTGTTCTAATCGCAGTGCATCTCTCGATTCGTTTTTAGAACGAATCATGCAGACTCAGCACGTTTCCAACCGATTAGTCCTTCAAACTTGGGATGCCATGTAACCAGATCACTGTTAACTGTTCATTTTTTCAAGCCTTTTCTCAATTTTTCACAGCTCCTGGCTCACCGATAACTGTAGTGCCTGTGTGACGTGTCATTAGTTTTCTCATCAAAAGGCTTTCTTTCGCCCCCTCGAATCTGTCGAACCGAGTAGTGTCATGTTGCAATTAACTTCTTCACCTCAGTGTTCCAGTTTTTGATACACTTCTCTTGGACGTCACTGGCGGCGTTAGCCGCTTTCGAGGCATCCTGACGTTTCACGTAGCTTGAAATGATTATTTAGCTTAGAACGCTCCAACCTTTGATCAGCACTTCGTTTTTCATCTCAGGAACACTTGAACAGCTCACTTTACTTCGGACTTAAACAAAAGCGGGTCAACGGGGAAGAATATGATGCATTTATTGATGAGTTCATGCAGGCTTGTGCATCGACGTGAGTACAATGGTTTTGTTTTCGCATGCTGTTTCTGTTTCGTCTTCAATGGGTGATTGCACCGTGTTTTCATCATTTCACCAAGTGGAGAATCTCCTACTGCGCGTTTCTCTCTACAAGACCTTTGTCTCTGGTACATTATCAATACCATCCTTGGAAAAACGGGAAACATCGCTCTGACGATCTGCTTTCTGATAGTACAGCAACAATATTTAATAATACAATCAACCACGCTACTCGAATTTCTGCACCACATCTGCTGTTCTGAATCCAACTTGCTCTTACACGAGAAATAAGCCATTGCGTTTACTTGACTACACCCTCTGAGACTACATCATTCGGACGCGTCTTGCCCTGTTTTATTACCAATCAGCTTCGGCAAGCACGTTCTGATACAGTTTGAAGACTTTGCCAATCACAACGCCTTCCGGCTTCTACGAAAATACAACAAAACGTACTGCACATTCAACGATGATATCCAGGTGAGCATTTGTCTCTTTTTTGTGAAACTTGAGGTCCTTCGCCCCTCCCCCCAAGTGCTGTTGGCTTGAAGTGGAACTATTTTGATCATTAGCAACAGCTAACCTTTAAAAATCCCAATTTTCACACTGAAACAGAAAAGCTTACTAAACTTATATATCATCTAATCTCTCTAAGGTTATAATTTCTTGATACAACTGCATCATTCGTACGATACATATGTATATGTTGGTTTGACTGCATCTGATTTCGCATGTGCCTGTTGCTGTCGGCCTACTCAAAAACCATCCATCCATTGCGCTGCTCCAACTGTATTTGGTGTTAACCCGAAGGGTGGTATGTGGCTGGGCTCCCACATGGCTTGGGATTAGATCCACGCTTTTTACACCTAAAGCAGAAGAAGCATAGGCGTTTCCCAAACACTCGGAAGAAGAGGTTTCTGAGACTGAATTTGCATGAACCCTAACTACTAACCCTTCTTATGTGAGTGAGACGTTCTAATTGCGCTACGCAACGTAGGTCCATGGGCCGGCCGGTGAGCGAAACGTCAGGACGTCCATCCTGAATGTCACACTGTTCGTGCATGCGTAGAAGACCGGGTGATCCTCATTGTATTCTTAGCCCACGCTCGACTGGGCTGATTGCGTGACAGGAAAGCGTTGTTGCGATGTACCGGCGTACTGCTGCTGATATCTTTATTTTATCTCTGTTGCTCATAAATCACCATCGCATCTTTTTGTGACAATTTGCATTAGCCTAAAGCGACCCATTAATGTGACTGTACTCTTTCAAGGGATTTTTACACCATCTGAGCTTAAGGCTCGGTAACATGACCACTGTATCTGCGTGACGGGGAACAATGACTGATGTGCGCTTTCTCACCCTAGTGACTTATTCTTAACCTCAACATGAAATTTTACTTTGCTCCGTTGATTGTGCGATGACCGTCTTCCTCAGCCCTGCTGTTATGTGTATTGATCAGACGCTTTAAAGCGTTTAACCTTTGCCATTCACTGAGCGTCACTGTTGTTGGCGTACCCCGTGGTGTCCTCAATGATGAAGGCTGCCACCACTGTTATAGTTCTTCCGTCCGTCGGCATACCCTGTGACGGGGAATACTCATCTGGAAGGATTTTCCATGTGACGACCGCTACTGACTATTTTTATACCACACTAGTCCTCGTACTCTACTAGACCACATAGATTAATGCTGAATGTCAATCTGTTGTATATTATTACTATTCCATTACTATTTACGCTACTTTTAACTCTTTGTCCATGGGGATTGGAAGCCAGAGTTTGCATCGGTTTCTCACGGTGTCGTCGGAAATTCGGTGCCATGCAACTTTTCTTCTTTTTCTTCAGGGAACCGCCTCGGTTGTACTGGCTGGCATTCTGGCTTCTCCAAAACTGACTGGAAGGAAATTGCCCGATGAAATCATCCTTTGCTATGGTTCTGGTGAAGCAGCAATCGGATTTGCTCATCTGGTCACAAAAGCGTTGACCAAACGTTATGGTCTTACTTTGGAAGAGGCAAAGAAACGATTGTTCCTCGTCGACAGCAAAGGTCTCGTTGTCAAAGGACGAAAATCTGGCGGTCTAAATGAGCATAAATTGGAATTCGCTTGTCCAGCCGGTACTCCTGAGCTAACTTCGTTGGAGGAAGTGAGTGTTTGCTTTTGGTGTGGGTTCCAAATTTCTTATGCTGGACTTACGGTAGTTCAATGGCTTACTCGCCCACTGTTATCCTACTAGTCTACCTGCAAGTTTTCACTTCCAGCCTCCACTACAATTTATGCATTTGCGTCGACGTCCGCCACATGAATATTCGACCTCTCCAGGGAATTTTGGAGACTACAAGTTTTTCACTATCAGCTACCACGAATAGAATCACTCTTGTCACTACTTAGCAGTTATAACGTCGCCAGATGATCGTTTAATTCTTTCTTTAATCATTGACATTTCACACGCTTAATTTAGGCACGAAATCTTGTCGCAATCCAGCTATAGCGCAAGCAATGTGCTTAAGAACCATGTACAGTAGGTTTGCTGGAAAACATCAGCATTTTTTGTTGTCTTCACGAGCAGGGCATTTTTGATGAAATTCACTTTAGAGTTCATCACAGTAACTTCCAATTCAGTCAATCTCATCCGCATGCCCGGAAAAACACTAGGCGGTTGTTTTCGTCCTATCAGAACTTGTCAATAGTTCGCAAGCCATCTTCGGAATCTCAGTTGATTATTTCAGCTTTGGTCTTTTCCCAATCATACCTTGCACTTTCTCAACGTTTTCGTCAACAACTGCTGCGCGTGGATGGCCTGCGCAGTCAACATATTTCACGCCTTGTGTGCTGTTTGAATACACGTGCAATAGGCATGCTGTCTCCACCGTAGCACTCATTCAAGTGCTAGAAAGCTTCCATCGCGGATTTCTCCGTTCGCTTAGTACGTTGTGTACAGATGACTTGAAGGTATGAAGAGTAATCCACGTACCCAATGACTGTGACCTGCTTCAGCGGGACATCTACCGCCTCTCCATCTGGTCTACATAGATCAACCTTCCGATAAACGCAGTCAAGTCACTATTTATGAGGAGGGGTAATTGTGAACACAATCGAACCTACACCATGGCGTGTCAGTCGTTGCGTCTCGTGCCTTTCCTGAGGGACCTCTGTGTGCTCTCACGCTGCAAACTATAGTCCGTGGGCAACACGAATAGGCTTTCTCAGAACGATTTTCATATACTTTCGGCGCTCAAACGCAGCTTCAGCACTTGGTCCAAAGAAGTTACCACTCACTTCTTCGTTTCAGTCGAACGACAAATGTTAGAATACAGCTCACCTGTATACTGTCCTATCACGCGGCGTGAGATAGAAACAATTGAACGAGTACAGCATATGGCCACCAGGCTCATCCCCACTTTACGAGGTGTGCCCTACGAAAACCTGGTCGACATCATAATACCGGATATTACGTCTTGATGATTACCCCGTATTCTCCATATGCGCACAGTAACTAGCACACGAGAACACCGGTATAAATTTGCAGTACTCTGATTATGATGTGGGTCGCCTACCAACTCTGTTTTTAACGGAGGGTGGTGTATGTATAGAACAACTTGCTGCAGCACGTAGTTGAACCAAAGTCGGTGTTAGAATTCAAGAAATTCCTTTACAAACACTTTGTTGATATCAACGATATCGAGCGCACTCAAACATAACAGGTCTTTACACCTTAATGATATTAGATGCAGCTACATAGAGATTTGTCTTCTTGCTATCTCCAACCACCATACAGAATACTTGCTGTTAACTCGCTGTTAATTTTTCCACTTCATCATGTTACGACCGAAGGTTTCGGCATGACTATACTGGAGTATGCCTACACCTGTACTGATTACCGATGACGAACCGAACCCCGCATAGCTATGACAGATCAGAACACGTTCTTGTAGCTATCCCTACCACTTTCGGTTCCCTAGCTGTGAAACTAATCACATTTTTTCTGTGTCTGTCTGCCTTGTCGTTTCAGATCGTTCGTTACACAAAATGCACGACGCTACTCGGTGCTGCTGCCACACCTGGCGCTTTCAGTCCCCGTATCCTCCAACTCATGGCCGAATTGAACGAGACACCTCTTATCATGGCATTGAGCAATCCCACGTCCGTGGCCGAGTGTACCGCTGAGGAAGCCTATATTCACACACAGGTTGGTGTTGTCTTACCGTGGTGCACTACAATGTGCCGGCGAATCATTCCTTTTCTCATTGAAATTCTTAAGCTGATAAAGCATGAGTGTATGTTCTCGGCAGCACGAGATATTTATCTGCAGGCGGCCTAATCACAAGATGACATGTTGTGCTGTTTGATGACCAAGTGGTAATAACTACAGCGCTTGCCACAACTACGATTAGTACACCCCAAGTCAGCTAATGTAGGTAAAAAATATGCACGTGTTGCGCGTCGAAGATATATATATATATATATATATATATATATATATATATATATATATATATATATATATATATTGCATTCATGATGCTTCTTTACCGCAGCTGGGCTAAAGCAACTTACACTTAAACGAGGTCTTTTAAAGCTGGGTAAATTTCATTCCACTTTATTTGGTTTGGTCTGCCTACCTGAGTAATCTTCTATTAACTGGCCACGCTGCTTACGCTAATTGTGGTTATCTTTGTTAACTTCATTACGTTTGTAGTATTTTTGAGTGCCTTCTGGACATTTTGTAGTTCTCGCGGATTCCTTGCTAAGCAACTTACATCATATGCTAATTTAGGGAAGAGTTATGTCTGCATAGCCGTATTCTTTAACAGATATACTTTATTTGATAATGTCATTTCAAGTGATTGGCTGTTGTTTGACATCCCCGGTGTGGCTGCGCTTGATGTGCGTGTTGACAAGTTGCCTACCTGTCTATTACCCACTACCTCGTCCATCTGGCTCCAGGAGACAGTTGGTCGTTGCTGGAGGGGACGGGGTGGACGGTTCTTGTGGCCGTGTTAGGATCAAAGAGTGGTTCCATGCACTCATTGTGGAGTGGACTACGGTCCAGCCACCGCCTTGTGTGCGCTTGATGCCCCAAATACAGGGTGCTTGTGTTTGCCTGCGAAGGAATGTGGGCTGGCTCCGTTGATGAAACGTGACTCCCAACCACATACCGCCCCGTCTTATTCTTTCGGGTTTACACTGGATATGGGGTGTGTGGATGGAGCTGTGGGTGGTGCAGCGCATGCCACCCATGGTCCCTCAGTAGGCCTGGGCGTCCTGTGGCTGTCCACGGTGACAGGCAACTGCGAAACCGGATGCTGGCAACCATGTATGTATGTGTGCCCCATGCTGAGGCTTATGTTGCATTCTTGATGCTTCTTCACCGCAGTTGGACTAAACCAACTTCCACTTAAAGTAGTTCTTTTTAAGCTGGATAAATTTCATTTCACTTTCTTTGGTTCGTTCTTCCTACCTCACTAATCTTCTACCAACTTGCATTCGTTGTTTACGCTGATTGTGGTTATCTTCGTTCACTTTCTTGCGTTTGTAGCATTTTTTGGGTAACGTGTGGACAATTTGTTATTAATGTGATGTCATTGGTAACCAGTTTTCTTCATATGCTTTTTTCGCAAAGAGTTGTTTCTGCGTAGCCGTCTGCTTTTACAGATTTATTTTATTTATTAATGTTATTTTATGTAATTGGCTGTTGCTTGATATCCCTGGTGTGGATGCGCTTGATGTGCATGTTGACAAGATTGACAAGCTTCCTATGGCTGCCCTCTGAGGACTGAAGTGTCAGGCAAATCGCGAACCGGATGCCCACAACTCTGTATATTCGCACTCTTGAAAATATTCAACATAACATCAACCGTAACTATATGATTCAAAGGCAGTTGATATTTAAGAATGTCATATAGAGTAAACGAATCATTCTCTTCAGTAACCCATTTCTTTCTTTGTTGTCATTTTCATTTACTTTGGAAACAAACTGTAGAGATTGTAAACACTTACGTGCACTGATTTCTTTCGGATTCCTGTCACACATCGTATATTTAGAAGCATTTTCAGCTATCGGTATTCCTGGTTTTTGGATCCCTAACCAGCCCACCGTGTGGGTCTAACGGCGACTAGACATGAAGTCAGTGCTGTCACCAATTGAAAGGCTGACTACCGCGCGTTCTCTCTTAACTCAATCCCTTACAAATGAACAGAGCACAGTGGAATAAATGCTCCAATACTGTACTTTGGACATGACCAAGCCATCTCAATTGACGCAACAAAATCATCTTGTTGAGGGGTATGTTCGCATTCCATAAGCCACGACGTCTGTCTTCTACAATCACCATGGTGACGCCATGCACGTACACTCCTCTTCGTACCCCCACTGTCGAGAGGCGAAAATTTAACGGTTCATCTACTTGCACTGACAACCACTCGCTTTCACACGGCAACAACGCTGGAACCGAGGCCTGATGACCCTGGCATCTTATCGATAGGGAAACGTCTTGCCGATACCATGTTTCGCATTGACCGTCTTCAACTGAAATCTGATGGGGCTGAGAGGCTCTCTTTACAATGGTACCGGCAACAGACACGCAGCTCTCCAAGTTGAACGCGTCGAATGACAGCACATAGTAGATCACATGTTTTCGACTGGGTCTTGAAATGTCCTAACCTGGCCGCCTTCAACATTTTGATGGCGAAAACAAACAAGCCATGGTTTGTTGTCACAGCTGATCTACCAACAACGGCATATTTCTGGTATGTCAGAACTCCTATTCTGAAAGTCTTCTTGTACTCATTACTAATCAAACATTCGCCATCAAAGTCTTCAAATGCTATGCGGCCATAGTCGCCATGTAGTGGAAGCTGTGACCTTTGGCGACCAGCCGCTGCCCTCTACCACGGTAGTAACCGGCATAGCAGTGTACGTTAGGTTGCGATATTTCCCAGTTCGCTTTTAAGTTCAGAGGGTCTTCCTCTTTCCCCCATTGCTCAGGGGCATAAGCTGCTGGCTAGTTGACGCAAGCCGATAGAGGTCGGGGATTCAGTTCTCTGAAGGGGACCGTGAGAATGCGCACTACTGAGCAACCCCGGTAGAATGAAACGATCGTCTGGTGCCTCTCCGGATTGATGGTTAGACCATCTGGCTTGTGAGCAGCTGGGACGAACCATTTTGCAATGTCCCTGGTCCGAAGGAGGATTACAAAGACGAGGAAAGCGTTGCTAAATCCCGAAGGCACCAACTTTTCAGAATTGAGTGATGATGTGCAGAGTTTGCGCACAAAAGTGAGACATATCGCCCTGATATGAATTCCATCACCCAGGCCATAAAGGAGCCTGCTTCTATTCCATCTTAGGTCATTTGGGCTCAACAATCAATAGGCCTATAATTTTTCTGTTTTGACATTTGCCAATCTCTGAAAAACTGCGTCGTATAATTCACGTGGCCTTTCCCTTGAGTCCGTGAATTTTTTGCAAGCCCTAAACCTGAGCCTATACGTCCTTGAGACTTAAGGCCCTGATTTGTCTTCTTTAGTTACAATTCTTAATCGGAAACCCATTCATGACAAATCGTGCATTGTGTGCACCACAAAACTGGTAAAAACATTCTCATGTGCGATGAATATGGACAAATTAAATGCTTCGTTTAGTCACTCTCCTTCATCAGCTCAAGTCCAAAGCGACAAGCTTTGGAGGAACTAGAGCCAAACAATGTCAGTGGTTCAGATGCTCTTTTACTAGTAGTTTTGGAGCAGCGTACTGATTCTCCAACGATATCTTTGACAGTTGTTTACACTAATTACCCCCACTAAAGTTATTCTCATTATTATTATTATTCAACACTTGACCAATAAACATTTGGCAGAATATCGTAACACATGGGTAACAGCAAAACAAAGAGAAGAAACAATCAAGGGAATGTATACGAAGTCACATGTATTGTGTGGGCAGAAAACTTTGCGGTTGCCCAGGCCGAGGAAGTGGGTTGACTTAAGGGTCCCCACCTTGAGTCTTTGGTTCTAAAGACCTGACCCGTATGGCAGCGGGACGATCCACGCATATATCTGAAGCGTCCAACCAGCTGCTGAATACGAAGACCGTTGACAGCCAGGTGGCTCATTCGCCTTCTTAGTGTTCCGTAGCAGTCCACACAGAATCCAGTGACCAACAAGGTTGTTCATCCGCCCTCCGTTAATAACTCACCTCTGAGTACAAAAGTGAGTGGTCAGTGACCCTATAGCCGGTCACATTGGCTTTGACACAGCACCATACGAGCTGTTGTAGCACGTGACCAGTCCAAAACTCCCCACACTCAGAGACGCTGCCGCTGATTATCCGCGACTACTTATTTGTCTCACTTGCAAGGCAGATTAGACTTATTCGCAGTTACCTGCACACGGAAGATATTCCCCATTCCGCTTCCTAAGGACGCTCCTGATAGCCTACAGCTCCGCCTCACATGTTCTACTATTGGTGTGACCCTCGATATTTGGAGATAGGTAGGAGTAACTCCACCTCCTATAGATGATATCGTAATTATCGCCCCAATTGCGTTTAGATCAGTGTTGCTGAAAGTCTTCGAGAAATTGCTTATAACGCAGATTTCTATAGCCACTCATAATGACGATATTTATCAGTTCGCGGTCTACATTTGATCCAGTAGCATACCTACTTCATTTGGCACCGGATCATAGTTGTGAGCCCTTACAACTTATTTTCCTTGAGTAATCAATTTCTTTTGGAACTCTTGCTGAAGCGACGTTGCTCGATATGCCTTCTGTGTACTGTGCAACTGTTCTAGGAGTCGTACTCATTTGATTCAATTAAGCGGTAAGACATCATATGTTCTCCGTGTCGACTCATGTATTCCGCAGGGAGCGGTCATATCACTTCTCTGGTTTCCTTGTGCTTCGAATACTGCCTCTATATGCCACTCACATTTATTGCTTACAAATATACGGGTGAGGTTGTATTCTGGTCTATAGCTGCCACTGTTCAGACTTCTGCGATGCTTCAATGTGGATTCGGTGATCTGGCGAAGTGTACTTCATCCAGATCTCTTATTTTTAATGTTTTCAACTGCAGTGATGTCTTGTCTTCTTAAATAACTAAATAGAACAATGTATATTCTCGATGTTACACGCGGTCTCTTGTAAATATCTATCTCGCTGTGACCGTGAGCGGCGATCTCACACC